CTGTGGTCAAAACAGACGGAAAAGAAAGGATCTGATCTTCAGTATATGGCTAATAAGCCGCCTTAGAATATTTCTTGTTCAGCTGGGTATAAAGCCTTAAGCCTGTGATTCTCGGGCCTGACTGCACATCAGAATTACCTATGATGCTTTTTGAACCAAGACTGAGGCTACTTGACAAAAAACACTGGCAGAGGTGAGGCTGGGGGGTCCCTCTCTAGTTTCTAAAAGCCTTATGTGTGGTTCTGAGGGAAAGGCAAGAATGTACTGTATTTAAGTCATTAATCTTTATCACAAAGGGTTAAAGCACTTAGAAAAGTCCAAATGATCTTTTTGGTACCCTAGAATTTAGGGTCTCCTGGTAGGTACCTACCATGAAGCTTCTCTGCCTCCCTGTTCCTCACTCTGCCCTACACAAGTACTATAATCCTGAGATTGGGCAGACTACCTTGCCAAGCATCAAGTTTGAAAAGTCACAGACTTCTACTCAACTCATTTGGGCTTTAAATTTGGATCTGTTCCCAGGAGGCCAAGCCAAAGGGAAAAAGGATCCAAATATGATCAGTTACAATTTGTGCTGTTTACAGTAACACCTAGCAGCTAGTATATAAGATAAATGATCAACAAACATTTATAGATTGAAAAAATGAAGAAGGGGGCTTAACCTTCTAATTGCATTCCCAAGGGGGTAGAGTTCATTTTTTTAAGTCAATAAAGGGGACCCCACTAATTCTACTAATCATAGAAAAAAAACCTGAAAAGACATGGGGAATAGCTGAGGAGTCATACGAATTCTATGATTGTATAAAGACTAAAAGATGTCTATCATAAAATCCAATCTCAGGGCTAGAGAGATGGCTCAGCAGTTAAGAGCAGTGGACCCAGGTTCAGTTCCTAGCACCCACATGGCAGCTAACAACTGTCAGTAACTCCAGTTCCAGGATTTACAGACCTCTTCTGACCTCACAACACAAGTGCACTTACATACATGTAGACAAAACACTCATACACATAAAATAAAAAAAATAATAAATATTAAATAATAAATATTAAAAAATAAAATAAAATCCAATCTTGCTCTCCAGATTCCTCTTATATCTTGCTGCCTGGTGTCAACTGGAGCACATCCTAGAAATGGTGCAGAGGACAGCTAGACAAACATCCAGGCTTACCACACTAAGTCAAAACAGTCCAGCTCTTCACTTTTTCAATGTGTAGAAGAAATAGAATAAGTACCAGTTCCTTAAAAATATAATTACTCTTTTAATTTTCAAAATTCCACTATTTTAATTATTCAATTGTTCTAACTAAAAATTAGATAAAAGAAGACCATCAACAAAGGATAAATTCTATATTTCAGTCATATGAACAGAAAATATACATGGTACCTTGAAAATACTTTCCTTGCTTTAGAGAGGTGTCTTGAGTTTAGCCAGCATTGAACAACCTAGCAATTTATCCTTCCATAAAGAACTATCTCCAGGTGAAGGGACCAATACATAACACTTCTGGGGACTTGCCAATATTCACATTTAAAGTCCTACATCATGGGAAACCCTGATCCTGTTAAAACCTATGCCTATGCCTCAGTAAAACACTAAGGCATTCTTGTCTCTAACAAATTTATAAGAGTGGTGGTTTATACTAAATTAAAAATAAAACACTCTCATAAAGTATGATTTGAAAATATCTGAATGGCCATACAAAAAGAAATTACAAAGCTGTGCATAACTACGAGCAAGAATGCTACAGAGAATACCAAAAGTTTATTAGGGAAACTTCTTTGCTGAGAGGATACCAAATATATGTGCGAGTATCAACACTCATTACACTAAAAAAAAAAACCAGGCTACAAGCAGCCCACATATATTTGCATACAAAGATAACCTAGTATACATAGAAAACTCAGCCAAGATTAAGAAGGAATCAACTTTAAGAGGATTTCATCTCTGTGAAGCAGTAGAAAAGCCTAACTTCAACAACAGTTTTGAGATATTGTGATAGCCTAAAGTTTCATGAGAGCCAGGAGATCTTAAAAGTTAAAGAAGTTGCACCCAAGACATACCCTGCAGGGTCCCTTTCCATTTGAATATTCCATGATAAAAGACATCTCATCTTGTGTATGGGCTCTTATAGGCAACACAAGTCAGGCCAGAGAGTTATATGATGTTCCCAGGATCTGGCTCTGGACAGAGATAAGAGTCTGACTATTCGCCATGCTCTCACCTTAATTATCCTCAGAACACTACCCAAAAGACATGGTCAGGCCAGGAAGAGAAATGACACATTCTACCTCATGTCCAGAATTTTGCTTCGTTTAACCTCAACTTTAAAAAAAAAAAAAAAGAAAAGAAAAAGAAATTTGAGTCCAGAAACTCTTGAAACTTTCATTACTTTAACCATATAACAGGAGTTTAGCTTTGCAAAAGCACTCTAAGAAAACTCAAAAACACATACTTGAAAAAGAACAAATATCTTTGTAGTTTGAGGGTACTTCAAACACAGAAAATAACTTACAAAGCAAATTATTGTGATCATCTAATTGCCCTAGTCTGGGTCTCATAAAGTAAAAGAAACAAGTGACCAGTTTAAGGATGCTAATCGTGAAAAGGCTTGGTGCTCCTTCATCCTGGTAACTTCACTCTTACAGAGATTACAAAGCCACACAGAATTCTTCAGCCATTTCTCGTTTAATCAGTATGTTAGTGTCCCTTAATCTGGGGAGGTCCTAAATTATATAAACACAAAAATCTGCTGTATTCAACAGGAAAGAGATTGTTCACGGTAGCAGGCAGAATTGTTTCTCTTTTGTTTTTTTCCCCAGATTTACTAGGGATCACAGATTTCTCTAGAACTTTCTATGTAGCCCAGATAGCCTGCAAATGCAAAATCCCTCTGTGTTGCCTCCTAAATCCTAGGATTACAGACATGTGCTCCCATACCCAGCATTAAGAGTTGCTTTTCAATCAAGCCTCTGAATTATGCTGATCCGTGTATACACCAGACCTGCACCTCCATAGCCAATGATACAGACCCTTCCCAACTCATTATCCAGATTTAGGAGTGCAGTTTATATATGTGTTGGTAACCTATACTATGCAATCTTGGCTTTACTGGTACATCTGTCTAACAAGAACCAGAGTTGTTGACATAAGGTACCTTTAGCCAAATCACTAAAATCTTCCAAGCTCTCAAATTCTTTTCCTCATCATGAGATAGGATTAGTAAACTCACATATTTTATATCTACAAAATCAACTAAAAATAAACATGCAAAAATACTTAAAAATGATACAGTTAACATTATTTAAGGTTAGTTGGCAGAAGGCATAACACTGCTCCTGGTTATCCAAGGACATATATAATCTGTTGTGAAAATCTATTAATAAAACAAATACCCAACAAATGGTCACTAAGTTCAAAAGACAAGTTGATCAAAGCTCCATAAATTAGAGACATGTAGAATTCTTCCGCACCGTAGGAGTTAGAATGAAATACTACTTAAAGTTTTACACTGGAGATCACTGGAGTGTTTCTTATGCCAATTTTATGCGTGCCTTCACAGATTTTCAAAATGAAAATGTTCTTCAGCAATTATATGCACAGTTCATCTCCCTAGTAATACTTCCATTAAAACATATTTACTTTATGCATTTCAATCTGAAAGACTCAAACACGGCACTCTATACAACCACACTTATTCAGAGAGTAAGAAAGAATGAAAAAACCCACTAAATCCACAGCCATGCAACACTACAAAGAGAAAACAAAATGAAACAAGAAATTAAAGGCAAATATTAATTTTTCAAATACAAACTAAATTGTTCACAAAAATCCTGTTTTCAAAGTTCAAAAATACCTAAATTATCATGATACTGTCAAAAAAGCAGAGAAGGATGACTTACCAAATAAAGTATAACCAAAACCTTACTGAATAATGCATAACCCAAACCCCAAGATGGAATGTTTATGTTAATTCCCGTAATCATACGAGACTAACTTAAAATTTCAGTTTTGGAATGTAGAATCGGTCCAATACAATGTGGAAGTTTGAGTGGAAATTAGGGAATGAGAAATACACTAAGGATGTTAATCTCCTGGACACGTACTATAATTCTTGCAGTCAAAAGCCTACAAAACGCTAACAAAAATTCTTTGAAAATTATGGCTGCATTTTCAGTTGACTTTAACCTTCTTTAAACTCTTGATTCTGCTTAAATTTTGATATTTAAATACAGAGACTTGACCTAAATTTAACAAAGCTAATATTTTCTTACAACAGAATAAGACTTTTTAAAAATCAGACTATTGCAGGATACAGATAATTTTTCTTTTTAAAAATTACATAACTTCTTTCTAAATGATGTCGTTACTACTCAAACACAATGTGACAAAACAGAAATGGAACTGTTGTACTTTCATCTGTTAAGATGAAAATTATTTCTTAATTTGCAGACAAATGCGTCTCAAGAATGACTTTCTGAATAAACAGACTTATCAAATACCAAACACTTCATGCTAAGCCAAAACTACCAGGTAATCCATGGTATACAACCTACAATAAGAGCAAAGGCAAGAACTCCACAACTGTTTCAAAGGCTGTTGACTTTTCTCATTCCCTTAATAATTTCTAGACTCGCCTGAGTGTAATACATCATCCAGGTTCGACTGATCAGATCCCGGAACCGTTGGAGGCATATTTACAACTATCAGGATCATATCAAGCTCCACGGGGAGGGGTGCACAGCCCATTTCATGCTCTGAAGTGTCTTCGGCAATACCCAATCTAAAGAGACATCACAGAACAGAACATCCCCAGATCATCTCTGGCCACCCCTCCCCACGCTGCCTTCTGTATTTTGCTCGTTTTCATTCATTGATTAAGTTACACTTATTTCAAGACAAAGGGGAAGAAATCTATTTGGGATGAAATTTTCAGAAAATAAATACTACAGATGAAGCCTAAATAAGTTGCTCTAAGTCGTGACCCCTTCCTTTACATACAGGCCAAAGATGATACACCCACTTGTATTCCGATCCGTGAAGCTGCAACCTGGTAATTTGCAGGAAAGGCGGGATCTTAAACCCCAAATACAGCGACTCTCCCGCAGGGAGTTAAAAATACTGTGGCTCTTCACCCAGGCGACTACAGAGATGCAGGCTCCACAACTCCAGAGGTGCGATCATGCAAATGAAGCCTACCACTCAAAAGTACAGCATCTCCAGGAGGCAGGGCTAGGGAACCGGGAAACCCCCTCGCAACCCGCAGTACTTCGCCGAGGAGTCCAAACTGCCCTGGGAGCACAGCTCCACACAGACGCGGGGGAGAAAGGAGCCAACGAGCGAAACCGCCTCCTGCGAGGCTCGGGAACAACTCCGGGATGGCTCCAGGGCGCTCGTGCTCCCCCCGCACGCGGGCTCGCGTCGCAGAGGGCGGGGCTAGAGGGTGGGCGGGGCTATCCCGGGGGCGGGGCGGAGAAGGGGGCGAAGCTAGTGCGCACGAGGGCGGAGCAAGGACGCGGGCTCACCTTGCGCAGGGTGCCAACCGGGTCGTCTCAGCGGCTAGCCGCGGGCTCGCGGGTCGCGCCGCCCCAGCGCCTCGAGTGAGGTCCCTCCGTTCCGGCTCTGCAACAGGCGCTAGCAGCTGCAGGCAGCGCCTGAGCGCTCGCCGTCTCGCCATCTTGGGGGTGAGCCGTCGCCCCCGGCTTCCTAGCCGCCGCCAGGTCCACGCACACCCCCACCCCTGGTAGCCAGATTACTCTCTGATTGCGACCTTCGACCTGGCATCCCGCGCACCCCGCAGCCCGGCCTTTACCAAGATGGCGGGCCCCGGCCTCTAGGCCATTGGCGCGGCGGGTCGGAGCCCCTCCCGACGAGACCCGCCGCATACTCTGTTGAGCCGCACCGCGATGGCCAGGCTCCAGACCAGCCATCACTTCCAGGGCACGTCGACACATTCCTGGACATCAGACACAGTTGCTTAAACCAGTAGAATCCTTTGCCCCAGTGGGCTTTTCATAGCCCGTTCAACATAGAAAAGCATGGCATGCAGCCCTTGGCTGCAAGAGCATGGCTAGAAACACAGTGTCTCTAGCAGGTGTTGAGTATCGATGGCCGCACTGCCTGTTGTAGTGTACATTTAAAATGAGGTCAGTCTCTTGGTACTTAAGTTGTCTTCCTAAATTTGTGGCCAGCTAAAATCCCAGGATAAGACCAAACAACATAAAATTGTGATTCCGAATTTCTTCCTAGATTTACTTTTTTTTTTGTCCTTTTGAGACAGGGTCTTCCTATAGCCCCAGCTGTCTCGCTATGTTTTAAACATAAGATTGAAATTATTTCAAGAAATAAAAGGGCATATATAATTCAGTGATAAGTGGTTAGGGGGGAAAAATATTAAAGTTCCCCCTGGGATGTCTACAGAGACCAAAAATGAAATAGGCTGTCTGAGATTGTCTTGACAAAAAAGCAAAAGGAAAACCAGGCACCAATGCAGATATGGTAGGAAAGTGGAAGCCAAGCTAGTCTGTGTTTGAAAAGTGACTGGAACCAAATAATACTGCAAAGCATCTATTGTATACTTTATCTCCTCAGGCTAGCTTGCAGTTGTTGATGAATTTTTTTGACTGTAGTGTGACTAACAACTCCTTGCACCTAGATGGGGGTTGAGCCTGCACAAGCTGAGTAATACTTGGCATGCATCAACAAAATTAAAAAATTTAAAAAGTAACAGCACTACAAACCCAGAGAGAAAAGTGAAGTTACTACACAGAAACTCTTCGTAGTGTTTTTGGCTAAGGAACTTAAAAACCATTTTCTTTACTTATTTTTTGCTGCATGTATGGAAGTGCACCACATGCATGCAATGCCTGTGGAGGACAGAAGAGGTGATGGATACCCTGGAACTGAAGTTATTGATGGGGTCCTTAGCTGCCATGTGAGTGCTGGGAACTGAGCTCCTGCCCTCTGCAAGTGTAGCCAATTCTCTTAACCACTGATCAATCTCTCTAGCCCCTGCCAAGGAACTTTTCAACTTGAAAATTATTGCCATTATTTCTGTCAGTCATGAAATCATTTCATTCATATATATATATATATTTATTTATTTGATGGATATGTATTTTTATACCATTTGAATAAGTTTCAGATGTTAAAATACTTGAATGGTTCAGCTGACTCACCTAAGATACTACTTTCATATCCACAATATCATGTCATATCTAAAAAAGCAACGATTCCCTCATGTCACTTAATGTTCAGGCCATACTCAAGATTCGTGATTTGACCAGAAGGTCTTATACCTGTTTGGGGTGTTCGCCGTTGTGATTGTTTTTCTGAGCTAGGATACTACCTAGACTCACATACTACATTTGCTTGTTTCAAGGACCCTAAGAACCAGCTAGAACAGCCACCTGATACTTTCTAAGTAGATTGTCATCCAAAGAAGACAGATAGGCTTTTAAGTTAAAAGGCATTTACTTGGAGGTCTTAGAATTACAATTCAAAGAAGCATATATTCTAGTAAAAACTAGAGCACCTCCCATTTGGGAAAGGTTTCGGGGTCCTTTTAAAGGTTAAAAAGGGGAAGTTTAATGAGTTAGGTTGCTTGTCAAGAAATATGATTGGAGTAACAGTTTACTTCTGCAACTCATTAATCAATCACAGACCAGCTTGAACCATACCAGTGTTCTAGAAAATAGTTTATACAGTCATTACCATGTTTCTTCTGGGCAACAAAAAAAGACTTTTCTTTTCGCATGTCAGCAAGTTCATAGAGTGATCACTTCAGCACAAGATGGGAGTGTGTGGGTCAGAAAATGGAGCCAACTTTCTCATTATCATACAGTTATCATGGAGAGAAATACTCTGAGGGTGTTCTTCCTTGAGAGCTGGTGCTTTAGATAAACACGTCTTTGTGTGCACCAAGAAAGCCTAAGAGGAATAACTACTTATAACACAGCATTGACATTATAAGTGAAGAAGTGAAGCAGTGTTGAGTAACGTTTGTTTTCCTAACTCGTGAAATACTAATGTAAGTTTTAGAATTGTGTAGGAATTAGCTGTTGTATTCCCTAGACAAATGGAAAGAAGCTAGTCAGTACAGTTTCTGCCATGCAAGTCAAAGCCTCTCTAGCCTGCCCCACTTCACAATACAGAACAAAATGAACATTGCACCCTAAGCATTTTATGGTTTAATTTTAGACTCTGACCTGCTGAACTGAATGAGAGTTATTTGTCTTTCCCATGTGTGCCACCGCTAAGAAGTGAGGTACTCAGAGCATAATGGTAACTGCTTTCTGAGTTGTTAATAATTTTTAAGTGTTTATGTCATAAAGGAGTAAATTCACAAAAGTCCCTAAAAGTGGCTAATGGCCAATATAATTTTTGCTCCTGGAGACCTGCACTAGAAAACGCTTTCTAGAGGGCTTTGATTCAGCTGTATTTATAGCAGCACCCAGTCTAAGATTTCCTCATCATTAAAAATAAATACATAGCCGGGTGTGGTGGTGCATGCCTTTGATCCCAGCACTCGGGAGGCAGAGGCAGGCGGACCTCTGTCAGTTCAAGGCTGGCCTGGGCTACATAGTTCCAGGACAGCTGAGGCTAGTGGGAAACCCTGTCTCAAAAATGACAAAAATAAATAAATGAATAAATAAATAAATAATGCTAGTGACAACAGGAATTCACTTGGGCAGCTCAATTCTAATGACTGTCCTCCATTAACTGTCTTTGACCTGAGAAAACACCCCTTCTACCTCCCTGACCCTCTCAGCCCTAACTCCCCATTATAGCTGTAGTATTCTGTTACTCTAAAACACATTTGGGGAGTGTGTGTATATCACTCAGAACATCCCAAACCATCTTACTCATCTATACGCCCACTTCCCAGATGGCACCCTCCCATAGAAGAGATCACATCTTAAGACAGAAAGCCAGAGACTGATTCAGAGGTCATTTGGTCATTTTTTTAAATAAATAATTTATTGAAAATTTCATATAAGGTGTTTTGATCAAATCCATGCCCAATCCCTCCCCTCCAACTCCTCCCATATCTCCCCATCACTTTTTTATGATAACTTCATGTATTCTTTCTCCTTCTTTGATTTATTTAATGGGGCTTTTGGCTACTCTAACATTCCCCCTTGTGAAGAGGTAACCCTAAAATCTTTTAAGGATTAGATAAAAGCTCCCAAATATTTTCAACATTTTCGGCCATTGGAACAGAGTAGGTTGCTAACAGGCCCAAGGACATTTTAAGATTATGTCTATATTATTTTTGTCTCATCCTTTATATATCATAACAAACCTAAACACTTGCTTAGGCTTTCTCATTTTTTCTGCTATTTTGGAAAATATCTCCATTCTCATATCCTTTTAACATCTTTTACATTCTCATTTTCTTTTTTTTTAAAGCTAATTATAAGACATAACAGCATTAACAAATTTTCCATCTGTTGTGAGACTTCTTTTCCTGGGGATGCTAAGCAATGATTCTTCCCTTTCAAGATTCTAGTATCAAGCCAATGTTTGATTAAAGTTTTACTGGGGAACTAATGAATTTATTGCTCTTACATATCAAGACAACTGAGGGGTTGCTGAGCAGTATGTATGAACTGAGGGTATGCACACTGGAAAGTCTTTACCCAGCATGGGTCATGCCTCCTCTTCCTAGCCTTCCCCAGATTGTATACTTTAGCCCTCCCAAAATCCAGCAGGCCATGTGTGATTAGGGTCAAATAATATACAGTTGGTTGGTAAGAGGGGCTAGATACTCAGGTGAGGGTCCAATGACCCTGCTTGGCCCTCCTCTAATAAATGAGCACAACCATCAACCATCCCAATTGTGATGATGTTTAGCAATCAGCCTCAGCTGAAGTTGTGATGATGGTAGTTATTTCATGCAGAAGGGACTGCTGTATAGCATCACCCCGCCTCCCCCTGGTAGCATCTGTTCCCTACTGCCTCCCTCTTTCAGGTTCTTTCTTTTCCTTCACCTCCACGTATCCTTTCTCTTTTCCTGGCTCCTGGTGTTACATCAGAATATATATACTCATATGTAAGGGATTGTTGCTGCAATCTGCAAATGAGGAAAAACATACATCACTTGCTTTTCTGCATTTGTGTTACTTCACTTAGTATAACACTCTCTAGCTCCGTCCATTTCCTGTAAATTTCATTATTTCGTCTTTCTGTACTGTTGAATAGAATTTTATTGTGCAAATATACCACATTTTTGTTAACCACTCGTCAGTTGAGGGGCCCTTAGGTTGCTTCCATCACATAGCTATGGTGAAAAGAACAGCATTGAATCTATATATTGCTTTTGGTAGGATGGTCATTTTC